ATTGCACTCCAGCCTGGGTAACAAGAGTGAAACTCCGTCTCAAAAAAAAAAAACAAAAAACAAAAAACAAAAAAAACAGTCTTGCTCTGTCTCCGAGGCATGAGTACGGTAGCACAATCTCGGCTTAGCTCACTGCAACCTCCACCTCCTGAGTCCAAGGGATTCTCGTACCTCAGCCTCCCAAGGAGCTGGTATTACAGGCACGCGCCACCATGCCTGGCTAATTTATTTGCATTTTTAGTGGAGATGGGGTTTCAGCATTTTGACCAGGCTTGTCTTCAACTTCTGGCCTCAAGTTGTAATGCCAAAGTGCTGGGATTACAAGTGTGAGCTACCACACTGGGCTAGAAGTTGTTATTTCAGGACTCCTGTGGTGGCCCAGCTCCTTCACATCACTGCCCCTACTCCATACCTCCTAGAGAGCATGAACCTGCTCCAGCCCAGGCACATGGATGGCCCACAGTTTCGGCCTTTCTTCCCTCTGTAATCCCAGAAGCAAATGCAAAGTCCTAGTTTTCCTAAGGAGTTTTATTGATAGCCACCATGGAAACCCACATGGTCTTACAGAAGAATAATGTCAGGACCCACCACATATTAATTCAAAGATCTCCAAATCCTGAGGTCATTTCCTTGCCTGATTCCCTTCAGGCTCCATTTTAATCTCCTGGTTAAAGCCCCCTCAGTTCCCAGGTTCAGTGAACCAGGAGGCAGCCTCCTGCAGAAGAGCCTTCACAGACTTTGCTCTAGGAGTGCCTCACTCTTAAGTCCTCTGCAACACTGGAATCTCACCATGTGGGAGTCTCCTCTCCTCTAAGCCTTCCTCTTCTCTTTTATAGGGAACCTCTATAAGGGAAAACAAAAAACCCATGGGTGCTAGCAGCAGATCTCGAGATGCACAAAGGATAAGATTCACTAGGAAGAAGGAAGACATCTAGACATTGCTTACTTTCTTGTTTTCTGCCCTTTTTCACAAACTATGGCTATCCAGATGCTTAGGGAGAGTCATTACCCTCCCTCCCTTTATCCTGTGTTATTAACTTTTTTTTTTTTTTTTTTAACAGACAGAGCTAAGTGCACAGGGGGTAAAAGGACCAGTGGAAGATGTTATTTCACAGAGCTATGTGGCGACACATAGAAACACTGAGTCACAAGCCTAAGCATGATGGCCACCACACACAGAACCACTGGCTGAAAAGGCCAGATGCAGGGTGGGGCTCAGCAGCAGCCATGATGGGACCTGTTGTCCTAGAAGTGCAGCGGATGTGGTGGGGGGGGCTCTGGGGAGGCAGAGGGAGAGGGGACTGCTGTTCGATGCTTTAGGCCTCCTCCCTCACCACTCTCCTGCCCACGATGGACTCCCAAGGGGTCTGGAGTCACAGCTGGAGCTGGCTGCAGGTGCTTCCAAAGGGCTTGTTCCTCCTGTTAGAAGAAGAAAGGGACAAGTCATTTGAAGAAATAGTTTGTGTACCACTTTTCTTTTCTCTGTATCTGATTCCAGAGCACTCAGACTGCTACAGACTGTTTGTGTCTCCCAAACTCTTCTGTTGAAATTGTAACCTCCAATATGATAGTATTAGGAGGTGGGGCCTTTGGGAGGTGATTAGATAGTGAGTATGTAGCCCATATGAATGGGTTTAGTGCCCTTATAAAAGAGACTTCCGCCGGGCATGGTGGCTCACGCCTGTAATCCCAGCACTTTGGGAGACCGAGGCAGGTGGATCATCTGAGGTTGGCAGTTCGAGACTAGCCTGGCCAACGTGGAGAAACCCCATCTCTACTAAAAATACAAAATTAGCTGGGCTTGGTGGCACATGCCTATAATTCCAGCTACTCAGGAGACTGAGGCAGGAGAATCACTTGACTCTGTGAGACAGAGGTTGCAGTGAACTGAGATCACGCCATTTCACTCCAACCTGGGCAACAAGAGTAAAACTCTGTCTCAAAAATAAATAAATAAATAAAAATAAAAAATAAAATAGACTTCCCTTACCCCTTCTACCATGAAAGGGCACAGCAAGAAGACAGCTGTCTGTGAATCAGGGAGTGGGCCCTCAACAGATACCAATTCTACTAGCACCTTGATCTTAGACTTCCCAGCCTCCCAAACTATGAGAAACACACTTTTGTTGCTTATAAGCCACCCAGTCTATAATAATTTATTATAGCAGCCCAACCAGCCTGACACAGATCATCTCATAGTGGCCAAGGCAGCCCTCAGGCCAGGGCAAGCAGCTTCCAGGCCTTATCTCCATGACCCATCTCTGCTGATAAATTGACAGCTGTGAACTTGTTTCCCCAGGAGCCTAAAAACATAGGGCTTTCAAAAATGTTCTTGCGCCACCCACTGAGTGGAAAAGACAGCAGAGTTCAGCTGATGAGGAACTAGGAGGACCAGGTGAAGGGCCACTCACCACACCTGGAGAGGGAGCCAGCCACCCCTTCCTCTCCAGCATTTTCAGCTTGGAGCCTACAGCATCAACCTGGGACACGACTCCTTCCAGGACAGTCTCCAGCTGCAGAACTCTCCTTGTGAGCCTGCGTAGGGTTTGAGAGAGACGAATGGAGCAGAAATATGTGTTTGGAGGCTGGGCATCTAAAGAGGCACGGTTCACAGAAGGGCATGTGTCTGGATTGGAACAAAGAAGAGAAGACCCAGCCTTGTAGGCAGAATTAAAGGGGAGCAGAGGTTCTCCTTGGGGTAGGACAGAGAATTGGAAAGTTGTGGGAAAAAGTACAAGATAGGATATCATAATAGAAGTGTTGTCAGCCTTGAGCCAGCCCTTCTTGGCTGCACATACATGTAGAATTCTTCTTCTGAAATCCAGCCTCCTGCTCTGGCAGCCTCTGCGCCCAACTCGCCTTGTGGGCTGCTCACGATGGATCGGCCCAGGTTCTCAATCTCAGTGTTGAGGGCCACCTGCTCAGGAAGTCAGACGTTAGAGGAGAGGAGATAACTCTGGGAAGCCATCAGCTCCTGTTCTATCACCCCGCTTTACCAGGATCTCAGAACCAAGCCTCGGGTTCTAGTTCTTGCTATTCCCCTTCCCTCCCAGACTCTGGAGACAATAGGGTCAGGGTGGTGGTGCTGAACCAACCTCCAGAGGAGAGTCACCTCTCAAAGAAAACACAAGATCCTTGAAGCCTTGGCAGATGAGGTGTTCACTAGATGCCAACTCATTTTAGCAGAGGAGGAACACTACCAGCATTCTTGGCACTTTCTAGGCTGTTGTCACCCTGTCTTTGACTTTTTTTGGTCTACACTGGATAGGGATGGAGCAGGTGGAGTAGTGACAGCCAGGAACCCAAGTTTGAAAATTCCCAGGAGAGGGCAAATCCTCCGAGGGAATTATCAGGGATTCTTAGGCAATGGGTCATTTTTCCCTAAGCCTGTGTTTTAGAGCATGGTTCTCAACCTTGGCTATATATTGGAATCACCTAGGGAGTTTTAAAAAGTACCGATGTCTGGCTTCATACCAGAGACTGTGGTTTAATTGGTCTAGAGTGTGTGTCCTGAGTATGAAGATTTTTAAAGGCCCCCCCAGGGTATTCTAACATGCAGCAGTTTGAGAACTACGATTCTAGAGAGTTCTTTACCATCTGTCTATGGGAGAGTTTTCAGGTTGGGTTTGTGTTCTAGATGTGTTGGGGAAAGGGAGAAGGGGGAAGGGGAAGGTGACCTATTTCCTTACACTGCCTCTCCACCCATTAGTCCGGCTCACCCTCTCTTCCTCCAGGTCCCGTCGCATTTGTTCCTGTTCCTTCTCATCCAGAATACGATTCCCATCTCTGTCAAACTTGGTGAAGGTGGCCGTGAGTTCAGTGATTTCATGCTCTGCGTGTCCCAGTCTGAGGAAAACAGGATGATGAAATGATTTCTGCCCAGCTGTGGCTGTGACCTCTCAATTATGGACTTCCTCACTCTTTTGCTTGACTCTGGCAAAAGTTCTGCTTTCTGGGAAAGAAGTTTCTCCAAAGTCTAGCAATCTTACTCCCAATAAAACACTTGGTTCTATTTCTTCTTCCTTTCCTGACTCCTGCTCACTAAGTTCATGGCCTCATGACCTCCTATAGGGATTATTGCAAAATCTATTTGCCTCTAAATAACCTGCTATCCCCCAGCTTCCCCTTCACTCCCTATCCCTGAAATCCATCCTCCATAACACAACTAGAGTAATTAACCTTTCTAATATGCAGGTCTAAATATGTCCCTTCTTGAAATCCCTTCTGGTACCCTATTCTTTGGACAGAGTGGTAGTGTGGCCTTTCCCAGTGCAGCCCTTGCCTGTTTCTCTGACCTCATCTCCTGCTATGACCACCCCTACCCCCACCCTTTTATTTAATACCTTAGCAATGCTCAACTACTTATTCCTCCTGTGTATGGTGCTTGGTTTCAGACCTCAATGCCTTTGTATGTGCTTTTATCTCTTCTTGGAACAACTTTCCTCTGCTTGTCCACTTGTAAGCAATTCATCCCCCAATACCCTATTTAGACATTACCTCTCCCAAGAAGCCTTCTCTTAAGCTTAGAGATAGAATTAATCACCCTCTACTCCTAGTCACTTCTGTTGAGTTTATTCTGTGATTCAGATTATTTGCTTATAGGTCTATGAGCTCTTAGAAAAGAAAGACTTTGTCTCATTTAATTATATTGTCTCCTGATCCCAGCACTTTGGGTTGCTGAGGCGAGTAGATCACTTGAGGTCAGGAATCTGAGACCAGCCTGGCCAACATGGAAAAATCACATCTTTACTAAAAATACAAACATTAGCTGGGCGTGGTGGCACATGACTGTAGTCCCAGCTACTCAGGAAGCTGAGGCATGAGAATCGCTTGACCCGGGGAAGCTGAGGTTGTAGCGAGCTGAGGTTGTACCACTGCACTCTAGCCTAGGCAACAGGCAAGACTCTGTCTCAAAAGAAAAAATGTTGTCTATTACTCAGTGCCTGGTACCGAGTAATAGACAAACATATTAATACACATTGAACAAATACGTTGTGAGCACCACAGCTGGTGCTCACAACGTATTTGTTCAATGTGTATTAATATGTTTGGGAATCAGGGAGTGAATGGTTAAAGGAACAGATAAATGTTTGTGGGGAAGCAAAGAACAAAAATCAGAGTTTTGTGGGAGTGGTGTGTGCATTCAATGATTCGGGAATTATTACATTGGTTCCTAAGAGTCATTCAATAAGATCCAGGATGTTATAGACCACTGTCAGAGACCTTTAAACCAAGGGCACAGTTCTGAAGGTCAGGAGCAAAGACCTACAGGCAAATATCAGAAGCCTGCAAGTCAAGATCAGAGGCCCCTAAACTAAGACCAAAGGCTTATAGGCAAATGAAGTATGGTTGAGGGTCGAAGGCTTAAAGACTGGTATTAGAGAAGGTTGGGTGTCTGGCTGCTTACTCCCTTAAGGTGCTGGTGAAATCCTCAAACTGGATTTCCTGCTCTCCACCCTGCAGGACCTTCTGCACATCTGAAACCCTCTCCTTCCTCAGACGCAGTCTTAGTAGGGTCTTGTTGTAGCCCTGAAAGAGAAAGGAAACAGACAAGTTCTCACAGGCTGCTCACTTATCCCTGGCCGCCAGCCCCACCCAGGCTTCCAAGGATAAATTGAAGGCACAGAAGGGCATAGGCACCTCAACCAGTCAGGAACAGACCAGGACACAGAGCCTTAGATTGGGGCACTGATGCAAATGTGCAGCTCAAGGAGACTGAGCAGTCACCTGTTTCAGGAGGTCAGAAAGTTGTAGCTCATCCTTCTGTCCAGCCAGCTCCTCCTTGACCTCTGAATATGTGTCATTGATGATGGCCAGGAACATGTTCTGGAGAATAAAGTGGGGACCTGGATCCTCACCCCCAGACCTACTGGAAGGATTGAGCCCACTGACCCCACTAATGTCCAAGACACATGTTCCAGAGGGGCCAGTGATCTCATTCCCAGCTCTGCATCCCACTAATTCCTGCTTCTCAAGGTCCCCAGAGCCCACCCAATATAAGGGCCCACCAATCATTGAAACTAGAAGCTTTTCAGGGTAAGAGTCCAATTGTGTTCTCTTTACCATCTATCCCCCAATCCATATCTGCATCTCCATCCATTGATCAAATAAAGAAAACTGCTGGTCTTGTTAGTGAGTATTAAATCCAAGAGCAGGGCACAGTGGCCTACACCTGTAATCTTTGGGATCTGAGGCAGGCAGATTGCTTGAGTCCAGGAGTTCAAGCTCAACCGGGGCAACATAGCAAAACCCTGTCTCTTCAAAAATACAAAAATTAGCTGGGTGTCGTGGCTCCTGACCATGCCAGTGGTCCTATCTACACAGGAAGCTGAGGTAGGAGGATACTTTGAGCTCAGGACGGGGAGGTTGCAGTGAGCTGAGATTGCACCACTGCACTCCTGCCTGGGTGACAGAGTGAGACTCTGTCTAAAATATATAAGTAAATAAATAAATAAAATCCAGATTTTTCATGGTTGGCAGGGAGAGAGAGCTACTAAGTAGTGGCAGTAGAAATCAGCATGAGATCCCCAGAGGAAGGGGAGTCTTGGAGGACAGTCATAGAAGCTTCCAGATGCAGCGAATGCTCCTCATGAGGCACTTTTCTCCCCATTTCCATCCTTGGAGAATGAGGGTTTGATTTTACTGAGGGAGTCTGCAGGTTCCCTTGTACTCTGCAAACCTGCAAACTGACCGTGCTGGCTATACTACAGTAACCAGCTCTCAGAAGATGCAGACATATGCCCCCACCCACTCTCCATCCCTGATTTGAGAAACTTGTCAGTCCTGAGTGAGGGACATACTGGGACCAAAACTCCACCCTGCAGGCTCTCTACATCCCCACCCCTCAGAGAGAACCTCACCAGGAGCACGAAGAAGACGAAGAAGACATAGGTGACAAAGTAGGCAGGTCCCAGGATGCGGTTGGCATTGTCGATAGCATTGTAGTCAAAGTCCCCGAGGATTATGCGGAACTGAGTAAAACTGAGAGACCGGGTCTGGGATTCACCCAGAGCCTCATAAACACCCCCATCCCGCTTTCCTAACCACAGACAGACCCCTTGCCACACATCTACCCCGATCTGATGGAGACAGGGCAGGGCACATAGATTATTTGAGCACACACAGCAGGGCTTCTGGAGACTCTCACACAGATACTTTAAATGCAGACGCACCCACATGCATGTACCCATCTTCTCCAAGGATACATACATCCATGGAGCTGGAGGGTGGGGGCCAGGGAGGAATGAAGGGGACAGGACACATACATGCACTTGATGAAAGTGCTAAAGTTTTCCACTTGGGTCCCGAAAAGCAGGTAGCCGAGTTGGGCATAGGCGAAGAAAACAATGAAGAACATGACGGCGAAGCCCAGGATGTCCTTGGCACAGCGGGCCAGCGTGGAGGAGAGCTGGGTCATGGTTTTGTTGAAGCTGATATACTTGAATATCTGGAAGGGCCATGTTGAACCAAGGGATGAAGAAGGAAAAGGGAAAAGCATTGAAAAGTCCACACCAAGGGCCTATGAAGGCCACAGGAGTTGCCAAGCCAAAGAAAATGAGACATATATTGAAGAAGGGAGAATGATATAAAAATTAGCCAGGTGTGGTGGCACGCGCCTGTAATTCCAGCTACTAGGGAGGCTGAGGCATAAGAATCACTTGAACCTGGGAGGCAGAGGTTGCAGTGAGCTGAGATTACATCGCTGCACTCCAGTCTGGGCAACAGAGTAAGGAAAAAAAAAAAAAAAAAAAAAAAAGGCCAGGCATGGTGGCTTACTCCTGTAATCCCAGTACTTTTGGAGTCCAAGGTGGGTGGATCGCTTGAAGTCAGGAGTTCAAGACCAGCCTTGCCAACATGGTGAAAACCCATCTCTATCAAAAATACAAAAGATTAGCCAGGTGTGGTGGCGCATGCCTGTGATCCCAGCTACTCAGGAGGCTGAGGCAGGAGAATTGCTTGAACCTGAGAGGCAGAGGTTGCAGTGAGCTGAGATCATGCCATTGTACTCCAGCCATGGTGATTGAGACCTCCTCTTAAAAAAATAGACGGGTTCGGTGGCTCATGCCTGTAATCCCAGCGCTTTGAGAGGCTGAGGTGGGCGGATCACTTGAGGTCAGGAGTTTGAGACCAGCCTGGCCAACATGGTAAAACCCCATCTCTACTAAAAATACAAAAATTAGCTGGGCATAGTGTTGAGCACCTATAGTCCCAGCTACTCAGGAAGCTGAGGCAGAAGAATTACTTGAACCCAGGAGGTGGAGGTTGCAGTGAGCTGAGATCACGCCACTGCACACTCCAGCGTGGGAGACTCCTCAAATAAAAAAAAGAAAAGAAGAGGAAGAAAAAGAAGGGAGAACGAGCACCTTGAAGCAAAGCTGGGTGCGGGGAGTCCCAGGTACCTTGATCCAGGCGAAGAAGAGGTTGACAGCATTCATGTTGTTGTACTGTGTCTGCCAGAAGGCGAGGAACTCAAAGTCTGCATACGTGTTTGGCTGCTGCAGGAGCTTTCCCATCAGCCGATTCACCTCGAGCGTTCGGAATATGTGGAAGCCCACAGCCACAATGGAGAGCTGTCACACAGGGTGATGGGGGTGTCAGAGAAGGCAAGGGGATCTCAAGGGAAGTTCCAAGATAAAGTCCCAAGGGAGAGCCAGGGTAGGTAAGACAGGTGGGAAAAAAGCCTTCCCTGCTGAGTCGTTCACTGTCTCAGGTTCAAATGGAACTGGGTAGGATGACTGGGGAGCATCTTAAGTGTTCTAAAGCCCGAGAGAAGGCTTTGGGGCTAGTGGTAAATATTAATATATAGATTGTAAAGGGCCATAGGGAACTGGAACCAGTCATTTCCTTCCATTCCCACCACTTCCAGCTTTGGTCCTGTTAATAAGAGGGAGATGAAGATGATGGAGCAGAATATTTGAAGAGAAAATAAAAGGCAAGGCCGGGCGCGGTGGCTCAAGCCTGTAATCCCAGCACTTTGGGAGGCTGAGGCAGGTGGATCACAAGGTCAAGAGATCGAGACCATCCTGGTCAACATGGTGAAACCCCGTCTCTACTAAAACTACAAAAAATTAGCTGGGCATGGTGGCGCGTGCCTGTAATCCCAGCTACTCAGGAGGCTGAGGCAGGAGAATTGCTTGAACCCAGGAGGCGGAGGTTGCGGTGAGCCGAGATCGCGCCATTGCACTCCAGCCTGGGTAACAAGAGCGAAACTCCGTCAAAAAAAAAAAAAAAGAAAATAAAATAAAAGGCAAATCTTTCCACACAACAGGTCATAAAGACAAAAAAAGACAAGAGATGAACAGAATACAGTACTTTTCTTTTTTTTTTTTTTTGAGATGGAGTTTTGCTCTTGTTGTCCTGGCTAGAGTGTAATGGCAAGATCTTGGCTCACCTCAACCTCCACCTCCCAGGTTCAAGCGATTCTCCTGCCTCAGCCTCCCAAGTAGCTGTAATTACAGGCATGTACTACCATGCCTGGCTAATTTTGTATTTTTAGTAGAGACCAGCTTTCTCCATGTTGGTCAGGCTGGTCTTGAACTCCCAACCTCAGGTGATCTGCCCGCCTCGGTCTCCCAAAGTGCTGGGATTACAGGCATGAGCCACTGTGCCTAGCCAGTACATTTTTTTTTTTTTTTAAAAAGAGCAGGGCTCAGATGACAGGTGAGGAGGAGAGGAGGTGTGAGAGACAGGGTTCCCAAGGGCTGAGAGAGGAGAATATCTCCCTTTCACTTAGGGAGCTGCTAAACGATGATTGGACTGAAAGTCAGAAGGAGGGCTTAGGGCTCCAAAAGGAAGAACTTGGAGGCCCTATCAGGGTGGATCCTCCTCCTCCTCCCAGAATGCCCCAAGTCCAAGATATCTGTCCCTCACCAAGATGACCACCAGGTCCAGGATGTTCCAGATGCTTCTGAGGTAGTGAAGCCGGTGAATGTGGAGCTCCAGGATCTCTTCCACCACATAGTAGAAGATGAAGACGCAGAAGACGACCTCACAGCCAACGATAAAGAAGTCCCAGTTGCTGACATAGCGGATCAGCTTGACAGTGCGGATTTGCCAGGATGGGATGGCACCTCCTGTAGCTGGAAACTCCACCACCAGCCTATGGGGTGAGAGGGAGATGTCTAGTGGAGCCTGGGCTGGGACAACTCCTCCCACTTCCTCTCCTCTCCACCCCCATCACAGGGTATGAGTTTAAGCAAGGGTCTTATTCACGAGAGATTGGAACCAGGAGCCATGGACAGAGGGATGAAGTAGGGAAAGGGGGCTGACCTCAGAACACAGAAAAGATTGATGTTGGCATTGTAGACTGAGAAGTCGATGAACACCACCCGAGTGCCCCTGTCCAGCCACAGCCCCTCCTGAAGATCCCGGAGAGCCTCTGCACTGGCCTGTCGGGATCCTGGAAGGTCCAGGTAGTAGCCACCTCCGCTGTAGCTTGTGAGCCTGCCCCAGTGGGAGGAGCCCCCCAGCTCATCCTGCGAGTGGTATGTCCACCTGCCACAGAAAATGCCAGCTGAGCCAGCCCAAAAGTTCATCTCCCACGGCAATGACAATGCTTTATCATTGTCTGGGCTTTATAGGTTTACATATTGTGTGTGTGTGTGTGTGTGTGTGTGTGTGTGTGTGTGTGTGTGTATGTGTGTAACCCATTAACTCAGCCTGACCCTTTGACTCAGTCTGATCTCTGACTGACCTGATTTCCAAATGTATTGTCTACTATTCTGTTTGACTAACAACCATTTGAGAAGAGATGGTGAATATTATCCACATTTTGCAGAAGAGGAAACTGTGAAAGAGATTTCTGAGATAATCCAGCTATAAATGACAGAACTGAAACTCAAATGTGAATCTGATTTTTCACTATGTCACTCAACAATTTGGATGACAAAGCTAAACCCCACTTTTGGGCCAACCTGAATAATCCCCCTGAGGGAAGCAGCTGGACCAGAATTTAAAAATCCTTCCAGCTCTGTGATTGCACCTCAGGCTCCTTCACCTCATGTTTCTCCATTCTATCCACTAAACCTTCTATCCTGGGTGATTATTTCCTCCCCTTTCTGTCCTGTCCTGTCCACCCTTTTCCCCTTCTTCCCTAATTCGTCATCCATCCTTGACCCCTTGCTGCTCCACGTATCAATCTCAAAGGGTTGAGCTCTTCAATTTCACCCATTCTCTATACCCCTAACCAACTTCTAGGCAGGAAAGGAAGCTTTCTCTGGAAGGACTATACGCAAGGTAGGACAAGTGTGACTATGACCTCTTGTGGGAACAAGTCCGGAGGCTATGGTTGTGTTTGCTAACCGACCTTCTCTGTTCCTGAGTGACACAGACCAAGATCCCCAAACAGTCATAGCTGGGACTCAGGGATATGGCCCCTAAAGTCCCCTAAAGTGTTCTCAGGGCTCTTTAAGCCTCAGTGGAAGTGGTTCCCACACCTTGGAATGTTATCAACTTTAGAGGGGCAAGCACTGTGATATTGGTAGGACAGGCTCACTCACGCTGTGCCATTGAGGGGCCCAAAGGGGAGTTGTTCTTCTTTGTCTGGAGAGTAGACATCATAGCAGCTCAGAATGTCCTCCCGGAAGTCTTCATGCACCACACAGGAGTCATTGCGGACCTTCAGCTGTCGCAGCCTCGGGACCCCCAGCAGCAGGTTCTCATAGTAGATGAAGGAGTGGGAGCCATGGCCCAAGCTCTGGTTGTTGTACCATTTGGTCCAATATAAACTGTCCAGTAGTGGGCCCTGGGCAAACTGAACCACAAGCTGGCTCGAACCTGACCCAGCCTCCTCCTGGCCCCCTACCCTTAGGAGGACCTTTGCCCTCATCCTCTGACTCCCCAGCTTGTCTCCAGTCTGCTTTTTAAAAAATTATTATTTTTTTAATATTTTGGGGACAGAATCTCACCCTGTCACCCAGGCTGGAATGCAGTGGCACAATTTCGGCTCAATGCAACCTCTGCCTCCCAGGTTCAAGTGATTATTGTGCCTCAGCCTCCTAAGTAGCTGGGATTTCAGGTGTGCATCACTATGCCTGGCTAATTTTTGTATTTTTGTGTTTTTAGTAGAGATGGGGTTTCACCGTGTTGCCCAGGCTGGTCTTAAACTCCTGACCTCAGGTGATTTGCCCACCTTGGCCTCCCAAAGCACTGGGATTACAAGTGTGAGCCACTGAGCCTGGCCTGCTTTTTTTTTTTTTTTT